GTTCCCTAAGAAGCAGTGTGAGAAAAAAGAAAATATATTTGTTAGTTGTCTTTAATATTAAAACACATGCACACCCACATAAAGGGAGATGAAAAATCATGGCATCCCTACTGTGTTCCTTCCCTAACCTAAGAATGGGTCTTAACAAGAAACTACCTTTATTTCAGGTCCATTTTAGTGCTGAGGGGAAGAGAAGGTGCACCAACCAACATTATTTTTAAAATAGCCAGGTCACTCAGGCAAAACTGATTTGGGGGCTGAAGAGATCTGTATCTCACCCCAGTTGTCTCTATGTGTTTACAGCCTTTGCAGCTCTGTCTGAACACACAGAAGCCTTTCCAGGGGTGCAGGGGATTAAGAATTCAGTGAAACAGCTGATTTTTTTTTTTTTTTTAAAGGAATGAATCAGTTTCAATTTGCCAATAATTTCCAAAGTTTTAATTAATTTAAAAGACTTCTGAAATAGCCTGGTCAATGAAACTTCCATGTTTGCTTCTGGTGTCATTTTTAATATATTTAAAATATTGTATTTTTAAGTGGAGGGGAAAAAAACCCCTAATAGTGAACTGAATTCTCTTACTATTTATTTATTTACTGTCAAATTTTGTTTCCCCGTTGAATCTAGGAGAGTAAAAGGTGGGCTGCTTTTTACAGGAATTGAGAGGTCTGGATGGAGGTCTTTGTGGGGTGCAACCTGCTTTTGTTTTAGGAATAAGGAGATAGGGTAGTGGATATATTCCCCAGGGAGAGATCTGAGAGGTGCCTTTATTATTATCTAGACTTAAAAGAAATGAAGGAACTAGTTAACAATGAAAAGTTTCTGGGAACTGGGGTACCCTGCTAGTTACCCTCTTCCTTGTTCCCCAGTATAACAGAAAAGATTTAAAGGGGTAAGTGCTCCTATTTAAGAAAAGGCCAAGGAACACAACAGCCTTTTTGAAACCATCTTTTAGCCCTTTCAGAAGTCCACACACATCACCAAGAAAGTCCCCAGGCAACAGACCCACACATTCTGGTAAAGATAATTTTTTTTTCCCCCTGGACTCTTAATTTTTCTGAATTTTCTTTGCTCTGCAGTTTGTATTAGTTTGTTTTTCATTAAAAAAAATGTATTGAGTGCCTACTATGTGGCAGGCACGGTGTCCAACTCATTGGTTTAGTCTGTTTTGTGATTCAGAGTGACTCAGTATTAACATGGAGAGGGTCAGAGAAAGCGTGCGTGTGTGTGTGTGTGGGGGGGGTACGCAGATGTGTCCCACCTTCTTGGCCAGAAAACATTCTTTTTTCACTCAGCACCAATAGCTCCTAGTGGCTTAATTCCTGTTGCTCCATGGTAAGAAAAATATCAAGAAAACAAAAATCCGACAAACACGTGGCTGGCTAGAACAAAACGCTGATTTGGGAGGGTGGGTTCTGTAGGTGGTGGAGATAGAGAAAACGAGTAGGAAGCCCTCCCCCACCCCCATGTCCCAGCCCTATTTCTTCTCCGCGCGCCGGGAAAATGGGGAGGGGGACAAAGGTGCTGCCTGTGGTCCTTTAACTCCCGACTTTTTGCACCGTATAAAATTATCCGACAGAAGAGCGGCGAGCCGAAGTCGGAGTCAGCTCACTGACTCTTCAAATGAAAAATAATAATAAAAAAATTCAAGGCATTCATATCGGTGTAGCCAACACGTGTTGCGGAGTCGGCCCGGGGCTGCAAGCGACTGAGACAATGGGGTCGCGGACGGGGAAAGGGGAGAATGACCCTTCCTCACCTGTCCTAGCAGCATGCGTGCCCCCAAGAGAATTATTCTCCCTCCCACAGAACCCCAAGTAAGACGCCAGCTTCCGCCCAGTTGACGGGGACTCTGGCATTACTGGAGATCGACCCCCCTCTTCCTCTGGTTCCCTGGACGAGGGGATCCCAGGGTCTTCGGTCAGCACTCTCCGCCACCCCCTGGCGCCACCCTAGCCCCCGCCGCTACCGTTGCCCCCCCCTGCCACTCGGCGGGGGACCCCGGGTTTGCGCGTGGAGCGCGCGTCCCGCTCTCCGCCGTGTATCCGGGACTCCGAAACGCTCGGCGAGCTGCCCCCTCCCCCACCGCCCAGACGGGGTGCGACCGCCCACGTGTCGCCCCTTGCCCAGTCGGGTCCTTGCCTCGGAACGAGTTGGTGAAAGCCGAGGGAAGGGACCTAGGCGGATCCGCTTACCCCTCCCCAGGAAAGGGCGGGGGAGGGGCTCCCGCCCCCTCCCCTCCCCGCCCCTCGCTGCCCCGAGCGCGGAGCGGAAATTACCCCCTCCCCCCGCGGGTCTGACCTGGGGACGTGGGCGGGGCTTCTCGCTCAGCCCCCCGCCCTCCGCCCCTCTCCCGCCTAGGCGTCGGGATCCGAATCCTGCACCCCAGACAAAGTTCCGAGACCCGAACCCTGCACTTGGAGAGCTGCGGCTGGGGGCCGAGTGGGGCCAGCGCAGGAGTCTTCACCTGTCTGCCCCGAGTCTGGGAGTAAAAGAGACCATTCAGATCTCCACCCGGCCACTGCCGCCTGGACACCTCCCCCTTCGTTGCGCTCGGGTAGCCCAAGCTACCGCCGGTCTTCTGTCCCACCCTCCCTCTGTCCTGGAGTCATCTTGGGTCGGAGCCGCACGTTCCTCCAGGACCCCGAAATGTTATTTAGCGACTGGACCCCGAGTGCGAGCCATCCTTTCTCCCGTGGGCGTCTCGAAACACGATTTCCTGCGGATCCCTCGTTCTCCACCGCGATCCCCCGTGTTCCTTGCTTCTCGGTTTCGCGCTCGCCAAGTCGCCCGGTTCTGGATCCCCAGTGGAGGGGAGTCTCGTGGGGTTGGGGCGGGAAACAGAACCCCCCACCCCACTTAGAAGTGTGCGGAAAAGGCGCCTTTCTTTTTAAATCACCAGCTCGTGCGACCCCCTCCTGAAGACCCCAGAGTCTTCGGCTTCTCTTTGTCTATCTCGGCCGTCCCCCGCCTGTCAGTC